AGGAATTTCCGGGGGTTTTCGATGGGAAATTGGGACAGTATACGGGCCCCCCCATTGCTCTACAGCTTGACCCCACAGTACGACCGGCCAGGCTCAAGGCCCGCCGGGTCCCGTTCGCCCTGAAACCACGTATAGACGAGGAATTGGACCGACTCGTGGAGCAAGGAGTGCTGGAGCCAGTGCCTAATGCCCCCTGGGAAACCCCAATCGTCACACCCGTCAAGCCTAATGGTTCGGTCCGCATCTGCGCAGACTACAAATGTACCATAAACAAGGCCCTCACGGCCCATGCATACCCAGTGCCAGTGGTCAGCCATGTCCTTGCCACCCTGGCTGGGTCGAAAATTTTTGGCAAGCTGGACTTGGCCCAAGCATATCAACAGCTGCCAGTAGATGAGGCCACAGCAGAGGCACAGACGATTGTGACGCACAGAGGAGCGTTCAGGGTAAAGCGGCTGCAATTTGGTGTCAGCGTGGCACCAGGCATATTCCAGAATCTAATGGACTCTCTCCTTAAAGGGATTCCTGGTGTCAACCCCTTCTTCGATGATGTGTTGATTGCCGGGTCCACACCAGAGGAGTTTGAGGACCGCCTCCGCACCGTTCTGCACCGTTTCCAGATGGCGGGTCTCAAGGTGAAGCGGGAAAAATGTCTACTAGGAGTGCCTCAAGTGGACTTTCTGGGATTTATGGTGGACGCAGAAGGGGTCCACCCGACTGGGGACAAGGTACGGGCCATTTGTGATGCCCCAGCGCCCAAGAACAAGACTGAACTTCAGGCCTTCTTGGGACTATTGAACTTTTACCATTCCTTCCTTCCCCACAAGGCGGCGGTAGCGGAGCCCCTACACAGACTCCTGGACAAGCGGGCCCCTTGGGTGTGGGGCCAGCACCAGGAGGCCGCATTCCAGGCAGTCAAAGACTTGCTTGTCTCAAACTCGGTCTTGGCACACTTCGACGAGAGGCTGCCGGTGGTGCTAGCATGCGACGCCTCGCCCTATGGCATCGGCGCTGTCCTGGGACACCAACTCCCGGATGGAAGAGAGGTACCAGTGGCATACTTTTCCCAGACACTCAACGAAACTGAGCGGAACTACTCGCAAATCGACAAGGAGGGTCTGGCAATCGTGAAGGGAGTAAAAAAATTCCATGATTTCTTGTACGGGCGGCCCTTCACCGTGGTGACTGACCACAAGCCGTTGCTTGGCTTGTTTGCCCCCGAAAAGCAGACCCCCCAAGTGCTGTCTCCTCGCGTCCTCAGGTGGTCAATTTTCCTTGCCAGCTACCAGTATGCACTGATTCACCGCCCTGGAAAGGCGATGGGCCATGCGGACGCCCTCAGCAGGCTACCACTACCGGAAACAGGCCCCGACCCAGCACCCGCACAAGAGGTTATGAGCCTGGAGCTGCTTCCCGACCGCCCCATTCAGGCACAAGAAGTTGCACACCATTCCAAGAAAGATAGGGTCATCTCCCGGGTCCTGGACTGGGTGTGGAGGGGATGGCCCAGCAGCAGCCCGGGCCAGAATTCGCCGGCTACACAACCCGTAAACATGAACTGTCGGCCCACAAGGGGTGCCTGTTATGGGGAAGCAGGGTCGTTGTTCCCCAGCCCCTCCGCAAAAGGGTCCTCACAGCCCTACACGAGACACACCCAGGGGTAGTAAGAATGAAGGCCCTTGCCAGGAGTTATGTGTGGTGGCCGGGGATCGACGGAGAGATAGAGGCCTGGGTCAAACACTGCCAGGCCTGCCAAGAATCCCGCCCAGATCCCCCAAGGGCCCCAGTCCAGTCCTGGGAGTCCGCCCGAGCACCATGGTCACGCCTGCATGTGGACTTCGCTGGCCCCTTTCAGGGGAAAACATTCTTCATAGTGGTGGACTCCTACACCAAATGGCTGGAAGTCGCACTGGTACCGTCCACTTCTACGTCCGCAGCCATCCGGGTACTACGCAGGCTGTTTGCAACCCACGGGCTCCCTGACACTCTCGTCTCAGACAACGGGACTGCATTTACGTCAGGAGAATTCCAAACCTTCACAGCGCAGAATGCCATCCGCCACATCCGTTCGGCGCCATTCCACCCTGCCACCAATGGCCAAGCAGAACGCATGGTGCGGACCACCAAGGACACCCTTCGCCGCATGACGCAAGGGGATTGGGAGTACCGCCTTGCCACATTCCTCCTAGCACAGCACAGCACCCCCAGCTCAACGACTGGCCGGAGCCCCGCTGAACTACTAATGGGTCGGCGCCTTGCAATCAGATTGGACCGCCTTCACCCCGATAGAGCTCAGGATGAGGTAGGGGTGGGGGAAGGCAGGAACCCCCGGACCTTCGAGGCTCAGGACCCAGTGTACGCAAAGAATTTTGGGGCAGGCCCAGCATGGGTACCCGCCACAGTCACCAGGGTCACTGGCCCCGTGTCGTACGAGGTGCTAACAGATGGGGGGCAATGCTGGCGCCGCCACTGCGACCAGATAAGGCGACGATTCCCGGGAGAAAACCAGGAGGTGGAGGAGAGGTCAGAGGAGTCCCAAGGGAACAGTGGGGCAGGGAGGCCCATAGAGCAGGAGGGGCCAGCAGGAGAGGCAGAATCAGTAAACACAGAGAGGACCCATGAGGCCGAAAGGACACCGGAACCAGAACCATGACTGAGCGAGCCGGTTGCGCCAGACCAAACAGCCCCATCACAGCCAGCATCCTTGGAAGACGAGCCAGAACCTGAACCCCGGACCAGGGAACACCCCAGGCCGCAACGCACACGTAGGCCGCCGGCGTACCTTGAGGACTATGAATGCGACCTCCCGGGCAGGACTGGAACTTAGAGGGGAGGGGTGTTATGTACTGAGTTGAATAGGATCCAAACTGCAGCAGTCTGATTGGTCCTAGAACAATAGGCTCCAAAAGGCAGCAGTCGGATTGGTCCTAGAACAATAGGATTCTGAATGCAGCAGTCTGATTGGTCCTAGAACAATGCAGCAGTATGATTGGTTAGCAGGAACCACCCAATCATGCTCCAGATAGGAGTGAATCCACAACCTGATTGGCTTAGAGTAGAATTCCGGAATTAGCCAATCATGTGCAGCCCATTGTGTAAATAATGTATATAAAGCAGATACTTTGAGGGGACTTTCATTCCTCCTCACCACTATGAGCTGAATAAAGAGCATGAAATCACTTTGCGACTCTGAGTATATTTCACCTGCCTTCTTGGATCTTGTCTGGATTCCCCTTGAGATTGACCTTCGGCTGTTTTGGAACTGGAGGCAGACTGATACCCCACTGAAAGTGATGGCAGGATTAACTCAGGTCTATTCCTTCTGATGGGACGCAGGTGGCGCTGTGGGTTAAACCACAGAGCCTAGGACTTGCCGATCAGAAGGTCGGCAGTTCGAATCCCCGGACGGGGTGAGTTCCCGTTGCTCAGTCCCTGCTCCTGCCAACCTGGCAGTTCGAAAGCACCTCAAAGTGCAAGTAGATCAATAGGTACCGCTCCAGCGGGAAGGTAAATGGCGTTTCCATGCGCTGCTCTGGTTCTCCAGAAGCGGCTTAGTCATGCTGGCCACGTGACCCAGAAGCTGTACGCCGGCTCCCTCGGCCAATAAAGCGAGATGAGCGCCGCAACCCCAGAGTCGTCCGCAACTGGGCCTAATGGTCAGGGGTCCCTTTACCTTATTCCTTCTAATGGCTCTGCTTTGATTTAAGCTGGGTTGGATACAGCCCTCTGTTTTCAAAAATGTGCTCAGTGTAATTCATCTCTCTTGCTTTGTATTGCCTGCTTCTTTTGCCAAAGTTTATGATCCTCTTTCTTCTCTGACGGGGTCTTTGTGCCCTTCACAGCTTCCTCAATTCCGCTTGTTGACCACCCTGCCACCCTCTTGGCCCTGATGCTTCTTTTCCTGAGAGGCTGGGGAAATTCTACCTGAGCTATTGTGCTTTTGCCTTCTGGGGGGATTGGATCCTCCCAATCCTGTAGTCATCCAAAAGGACCTTCTCTGGTGCACTTACCCTTCATAAGGGGTGTCATCAACCCAAGTGAAAACCCAACCCCGCTTCTTTGCAGACCATGTTCTTTGCAGACCAATCCAGTATTTATTTGGCTGTTGAGGAAAAAGATTGTTTTTAGCCAGTGAGTGGAGTCAGAATTGTGATGGATGAGTGAGTTATTTGGACAGTGAGCTGTAAGTATCCCTGAAGGAGCGTCTCCACCCCCATTGTTCTGCCCAGACACTGAGGTCCAGATCCAAGGGCCTTCTGGCGGTTCCCTCACTGCAAGAAGCCAAGTTACAGGGAACCAGGCAGAGGGCCTTCTCGGTGGTGGCGCCCACCCTGTGGAACGCCCTCCCATCAGATGTCAAAGAGAACAACAACTACCAGACTTTTAGAAGACATCTGAAGGAAGCCCTGTTTAGGGAAGCTTTTAATGTTTGAAGTTTTATTCTGTTTTTATTGCTCTGTTGAAAGCCGCCCAGAGTGGCTGGGGAAACCCAGCCAGATGGGCGGGGGTATAAAATAAATTATTATTATTATTATTATTATCATTATTATCATCCCTGGGGTCGTAAGGAGCTGCTGTTTCCGCTCCCTTTGACTGCATTTGTCCTGCTCCCGTTTCATTTTCTAGTCTCTGAGACTTCCCCTCCCCTTCCTTTCTTCCTATCAGCCAAAATGCCTCTTTCCTCAAGTGAGGCTTAAACCCTGCTCACTTTGGCAGCTTTACATTCAAGGTCCTTCCTGATTCAGGGATGGGTTTTCACTAAAAGGCTGGCTAAAACGGAGGAGGAAACCTTTGCTTAGCAGTGCCTTGCAGTGACCTTGTGAGGTCAGGTGGAGCCAAACGGGTTCCCCACCTCTAGTGCTGAATATTCTTTCTTCTAGACCCCTGGACATGCTCTGCAGGTGGGGGGCGCTATCCCTAGGAGCTCCCCCTGGTCCACTTTGCCCAACATCAGAGCAAGTTGTGGATAATGGCTGACCATGAATGAGCAGCAGGCCGGATCATTCCTCCTTCACTGCTCCCTTGGAGGAGCAACAGGAGAGGAAGCCAAGCTGAGCGCAATGTCTGGACTGGGGTCTCCATTTGCCAGCTGATATGGGTTTCTTCAAGGGACACGGGTGGCGCTACGGGTAAAAGCCTCAGTGCCTAGGGCTTGCCGATCGAAAGGTCGGCGGTTCGAATCCCCGCGGCAGGGTGCGCTCCCGTTGCTCGGTCCCAGCGCCTGCCAACCTAGCAGTTCGAAAGCACCTTCGGGTGCAAGTAGATAAATAGGGACCGCTTACCAGCGGGAAGGTAAACGGCGTTCTGTGTGCTGCGCTGGCTCGCCAGATGCAGCTTGTCACGCTGGCCACGTGACCCGGAAGTGTCTGCGGACAGCGCTGGCCCCTGGCCTCTTGAGTGAGATGGGCGCACAACCCTAGAGTCTGGCAAGACTGGCCCGTACGGGCAGGGGTACCTTTACCTTTACCTTTATGGGTTTCTTCAGGGCAGGTGAAACATACCTGCCTTTGTTCAGAAGCAACTGTTTGTTCACAGCAAGCCAGGAACCATTGCTCTCAGCCGTGTGTGAACTGGGCCACGCTGCACATCGCTCGCTCCTTGCGTTCTCATTGCTTCCACTTCTGTGATTTTGACTTCCCCTTCTATGGTTTGGGTCCCCAGCAGGTGAAATCAATGGGTTTCATTTTGGGTGGAACTGGAGAATGACCTGCTTCTGGGTTTCTCTTACTGGCCAGTAAGGCTTGACTCTGGACTCCACGTCCCCTCCTCACCCTCCACCCCTTGCATGATGTTGGAGCTACTTGTACCCTACAGTTATTACCTCCTCATCCCTTGCTATTACACCATCCCATAATTCCCTTGCGCTCCAGGGCTTTAAAATAAGCAGCTGAGATGATCTGGCTTGGCAGGCTTCCTTGCTGTTTCCCCAGCTCTTCCTTTCTGATGAAGGTGAAACCCACAGGCATTTCCACCTGAAGATCTTCCATCCATGGGGACAGCAGCCTGGGGGAGAGAAGGTCAAGGGAGCAGCTTTCAGCTTCTGTGCAGCTGAGACTGGCAGGTGGCCTCAGGCTGGCAGCCAAGCCCTGGGGGGACACAGACTTGTCCTGCCAATCTGCTGAGAGCCTGTGTGCCCCTCCAGGGTATCACCATTTGGGCGGTGAGATTCATAATAAACAACTATCTGACTTTTAGAAGACATCTGAAGGCAGCCTTGTTTAGGGATTTTTTAAATGTTTGATGTTTTATCGCTGCCTATTATTATTATTATTATTATTATTATTATTATTATTATTATCCTGTTGGGAGCCACCCAGAGTGGGTGGGGTATAAATATGTTGTTGTTGTTGTTGTTGTTGTTGTTAGCATCCTGGCAGATTCCAATTTGGCGCTCTTCAGCAACAAATCTTTTTTGTGGCTTTGCAGAAGAGAATCTGTGCAAGGTCCAGTTCATGCGATCTTATAGAGCAGTATGAATCCCAAGCCGGAATTAAGATTGCCAGAAGAAATATCAACAACCTCAGATATGCAGATGACACAACCTTGATGGCAGAAAGTGAGGAGGAATTGACGAATCTTTTACTGAGGGTGAAAGAGGAGAGCGCAAAATATGATCTGAAGCTCAACATCAAAAAAACGAAGATCATGGCCACTGGTCCCATCACCTCCTGGCAAATAGAAGGGGAAGAAATGGAGGCAGGGAGAGAATTTACTTTCTTGGGCTCCATGATCACTGCAGATGGTGACAGCAGCCACGAAATTAAAAGACGCCTGCTTCTTGGGAGAAGGGCAATGACAGGCCTAGGTAGCATCTTAAAAAGCAGAGACATCACCTTGCCAACAAAGGTCTATATAGTTAAAGCTATGGTTTTCCCAGTGGTGATGTATGGAAGTGAGAGCTGGACCATCAAGAAGGCTGATCGCCGAAGAATTGATGCTTTTGAATTCTGGTGCTGGAGAAGACTCTTGAGAGTCCCATGGACTGCAAGAAGATCAAACCTATCCATTCTGAAGGAAATCAGCCCTGAGTGCTCACTGGAAGGACAGATCCTGAAGCTGAGGCTCCAAGACTTTGGCCACCTCAGGAGAAGAGAAGACTCCCTGGAAAAGACCCTGATGTTGGGGAAGATGGAGGGCACAAGGAGAAGGGGGCGACAGAGGACGAGATGGTGGGACAGTGTTCTCGAAGCTACCAGCATGAGGGAGGCAGTGGAAGACAGGAGAGCCTGGCGTGCTCTGGTCCAGGGGGTCACGAAGAGGTGGACACGACTAAACGACTCAACAACAACTGGTCCAACTGGTCAACTGCGATAGACAGGTAGATCACTGGGGTGCTCCAGGACGATCAGAGGAGCCAAGAAGAAAAAGAAGAGTTTGGATTTGATATCCCATTTTATCACTACCTGAATGAGTCTCAAAGCGGCTAACAATCTCCTTTCCCTTCCTCCCCCACAACAAACACTCTGTGAGGTGAGTGAGGCTGAGACCTAGCAGCTGCAGGTGGAAGAGCGGAGACGCGAACCCGGTTCCCCAGATTACAAGACTACCACTCTTAACCACTACACCACACTGGCTCTCAAGTGACCCCCCTGTTGCTCCTTAGCACTCACAACGCACCCCACCCCTGGCGCTACATCCCATCGTTGCCGCCGATGCAGCTTAGAAATGTTGTGTTCCCTGCGTTGGCGGCAGAGTGGGGGAATGAGGGAGGGCAATGGACTATAGGACAAGTGTTTTAATTCAATCCTTCCCCCCAAAATTTCAACAACTAATGCCAACTCTGGTCTGTCCCCCTGAAAAAGCTCAACAACTATGGGCAATGCCAACGGGCAGATCACTGCCAGTTTTATTATACTGGGAGTAGATCGCATTCTCTATAGAGCTGGACGTGCCTGGTATAGAGAACGACTGATGACCGGTGGTGCATGGTGGCTGCTGGGCACAGAAAGCAACATGTGACCTGGGAGATGCGCCCCAGAGGCTGTGTGAGAGTTTCAGTTTCATTTTGTATGTTTCTGGGACGCGGTGAGTGGATCACACTGAGCACAGAGATGGTGGCCGAGGGTGTAGCGCAGTTGCCATAGAGTAGCAGCACCAACAGAGCCCCCTCCCAGCCCATCAACAGGCTACACCCCTGAAATAAATGCTCATCTGTCTAAGCAATGAACAGGGTCAGGGCTCCCCTAGCCCCCCATGCGGGATGTGATACATAGATAGCAGTCAAGTACAACATTCCTTGTTTTCCTAGAGTGGACATGCAGGGGGATGTTTGGTCCAGCCAGTCGGAACTTCCATATTCCTCCTAGCTGGGGCATACTTCCTTTTGCATGTGACTAGAGGTGGGCGTGACCTTACCTGTGCAGGTAACAAAAGGACAAGGCACACAGCACACTCTCTCTCTTTGACTTCCTCCGTTTTTGGAGCAGCTTTTTAGCTAGAAATGTCCTGTTGGCTTTCAGCTGAAAGAGGACAGTGGGATTATCCCCATATGGGATAGAACCACATGTATATATCTGTAACTAAGTCTGTCTTCAGGGATCCATCTGTGAACTGAATGTGTGAGTAAACTTCTTTTATATACTTTACACAAGATTGTGGTGTGTTTATTCTTTTAAGAAGGATATAAGGGGACTTACCAGGAATCTAATATTAAGAGAATTAAACACACCTGCAACCAGCTACCTGCTGTGCATTTAAAAGAGGGGTGAAAAACTCTGCCAAGTAAAGGAACTTGCTAGCGCAAGTGAGGAAGGATATTAACAAACAATATATCCTCTCCTGCCTCCTTGAACATCCCCACACCACAGACCTACCCATCTGCTGGCAGGAGGTGGCTTCGCCCAGCGCTCTCTCGACTTGCTCCTTCTCATGCTTCAGATGCGTCAGGTTGAGGTCTGCTTGCCTCACTTGGTCTCCCAGCTGCCGCTGTGTCCTGTTCCCATCTCTCCAGCTCTCCTCCAGGGCCTTCCGGGTGAGACGGAGATCTCTTTCAGCCTTGCGGAGCAGCTCCTGAGAACTGGACAGGCTCTCCTCCAAGGTGTCGAGTCTCTGGGCCAGGAGGTTGCTCTGCGCCGCGTGGTTTTGGGATTCCCGCTGGAGCTGCTGGGAGAGCTGCCCATCTGCAGAGGAGAAGTGGGGAGGGACACCAGGTTGGGCTCTTCCCCAGGAGGACCACCAAGAGCAGCCAAAGCAGCTGGTCTCCCTTGATGGCTTTTTCCCAGGGGACCAGACCCCTGCAAGGTCGGCCCCATGAACGACATTATTCAAATGCACCTTTTCATGCCCAGAGCCCAGGGCAGAGAGGGCAAGCTGTGAGCCAACTGTGATCCCTCTCCCCCTCCCAATTGACTGGCTTTTCCCAGGGTGATGGACTACTCACATCGGACCCCCAGTCCTATGGCGGTGGCAAGAAGGAACAGGCAGGTGGCCAACAAGGCCAGGATGGCGTACCAGGTCCGGCGGTCTGACTCTGCAAGAGAAACTCACTGGGATCAGCTGGGGGCTCTGACTGACTGCTTTTAGCCCCAAAGCTGCCTGGTTGCAGTTGGGAAATGGCCACTTGCCCCTGGTCAGCTGGCGCTCCGAGGCATGTTCAGGACTGTGTGTCTGTGCTGTGCATGGGAAGGAGGTAAGAAGGTGCACTCGTGCAGGGATGGATCCTGCCTTCAGTGCCCCTAGCTGTGAAGGCCTTCCTGAAAATGTTGAATGAATAGTTGTTGAGGAGTGAGCATGTTTTGAACTGGGCGCAGACAAGCCTCATCCTCTGGGGAGTTTGGCCCATCCAGTCATTGTTCTGTACTGGGAACTGGGAAGAGAATTAGCTCAATGGTGGAACAGCTGCTCTGCATGCAGAAGGTGCCAGGATCAGTCCCTGGTGGCATCTCCAGGGAGGGATGGGAGAGGCCCCAGTCTGAAACCATGGAGGGCTGCTGTCAGCCCGTGGAGACAATGCTGGGCTGGGTTCCCAAACACTCTGTGCTCCAAAACGCTCTGATTCTTGCTTGTATGGAAGATGTCTGGAATCTAGATCCCAAGTAGGAAAATGATTAGTCTCAGAATACAGCTCTCCCCCTAAAAGGCAGCGATCCCCACCTCTCAAGCATCCATGATGATAACTCCAGTCTTTCCCCTCCATCTCCTCGGCTGTCTTCACGTTGCCCAGGGAGGAGAAGCGAGAAGACTTGGTGGTGCAGACTGAATGTTGGAAGCAAAGGGAGAGGGAACGATAAAGGCGCAGATTCCACGAACCCAACACTGAGGTGCAAGGGTTCCAGTGACTGTATTGGGATCCCCCCTACCTCTCCCTGGGCTCCCCAAATCAGCTCTGGGTGGTCAGGAGAACCCCCAGGACAACATGCAAAGGGAGGAGAGCGGGGAGAGTTGTTCAGTCTGGCAAGCAGAAATGCTTGTGAAGAACAAACAGGTCTCTGGTCTCTGAAGGATGGATGGTAATGCTGTTGCTGGATGTGGAGGACAAGGGGCTGCAAGGAGGACTTCAGCCTGGGGCCTGTGGATTTAATGGTGATTAGATACCTGGCACAATACTCAGACTGCTTACTTTGCAAGGTCCTTGTAAGCGAAACTCTGAATGCTGAAAGTCACATGCATGTGGAATATTATTGCTTGGCTTATTATTCATTTTTTGAGCCGACAAAACCAGCTGGGCAGATGGGTTTTTAATGGTGTTCCCTGTCCAGAAGACAAGGCAGGTCAGAAATCTATTGAGATAAATAGCCCTTTCATCATCATTTATCTCAGATAAATGGAGGACTTTTCTTATCTATGCCGCTTTCTTACTTCTGCAAAACACCAGAATGAGTCATATTTGCTTGATTAAAAAAGTTCCACTTACAGTAAATAAGGAAAATAAAATGCAGACTTTGCATCTTAAATGTCAGTGGTCTCAAGACGTGCTGATTTGCTAAGCAAAGTGGCCCTTGGGGGAAAGGGAAACTGGCTTGGGCGACTCCAGGCACTCTGTTGGTTGAGTATTTACTTGCGCCAAACTTAGGTGGACTTATTTATTCAGCATTTAGGGAGAGGTAAAGCATTTGTTCTGCATTGTTTGTGACTGCTTGCCCTTAGTCATTTGTTCAGCACCCCACACTTTTGAATCCATTTCCCCATCACTTTCCAAACCAAGAAAACTCAGATTCTTGCAGGTTGTACAGGATTTCTTTCCCTTTTAAAGTCTGATCCTTTTAAAAAATGGATTTGCTGCAGTTGGGTGTCAGAGTCCCGTAATCTGTGCAAACCTAAATGTCACCTGCAAATCAGTGGCAACCTGGAGGGCTCCTTTGCTCACTTGTTTACGTAGAAGAGTTCTGTAAAGCAGGGCGCTTCAGAATAGCACAATATTGCATAAAACCAGTCATCATCCTGAAACAACCTGCTCCCCCCCCTCCTGCAACATGTGGAAGAAAATGTGGCCCCTACTTTTAAAGCTGAAGTTTCGCACTCCCAGATTTGGAATTGTATTTTGAAGCTGCCTGCCTGTGTCGGATAAAAGACTGGATACTGCTGGAAAAGACACAGCTGCTAGATTTGGAGGGTCCTGATGTCAAACATGGCTGGCATGCTTGTATCTGGTATGGCAAAGAAGGAATACGTAAAAGCTTTGCCAACAAAGTTATTAGAAAAAACTTAATTAGGGTGTGGGGAAAATATAATAAAATAAAATAGAAAACAAAACGCTGAGGTGGTTATCCCCAATAGAAGCTGAGGCAAGGAAATATAATAATATGAGTGGTAACTGAGGTACCTATAATGATTTGTTATACTTTTCAGGAGAAGAAAAAATGAAGAGATTAAAGAATTTGTTTCAGACTAGCTAAACTATCATCAAATCACTTAAAAATGTAAGGTGAATAAAAAATGGGGATTTGCAGAAAAACCATCACAATTCGAAAAAGAAATATTAAGATCTAGAGTTTAAAAATTTTCCTCAAATATATAGGATATTATTAGATTGGGAAACTAAATAAAAAATTGTGAAATCATCTATGTTCAAATGGCACAAGATGTGGGTCGCAATATTGATCTGAACCTGTGGGAACATTTGTAGAAAATAAATTTAAATTTAAACTGCTAGCTTAAACTGTTTAAAAATGATCCACAGGTGGTACTTGATGCCAAGTAAACAAGCTAAAATGTTTAGAACTAAAAGTGGCCTATGCTAGAAATGTAAAGAAACAATTGGCACATTGTATCACTCATGGTGGCTTGTAGAATAAGAACATAATTATGGGAGGTGGTTTGTAACGAATTTAAGAAAATGTTTAAAAGAACTTTTCCTAAAAATCCAGAAGCTTTCCTTCTGGTAATAATAACAATATGGTTGTTTAGTCGTTGAGTTGTGTCCGCCTCTTCGTGACCCCCTGGACCAGAGCACGCCAGGCACTCCTGTCTTCCACCGCCTCCCGCAGTTGGGTCAGACTCATGTTTGTAGCTTCAAGAACACTCTCCCACCATCTCATCCTCTGTCGTCCCCTTCTCCTTGTGCCCTCCATCTTTCCCAACATCAGGGTCTTCTCCAGGGAGTCTTCTCTTCTCAGGAGGTGGCCAAAGTCTTGGAGCCTCAGCTTCAGGATCTGTCCTTCCAGTGAGCACTCAGTGGAATAACAATATAAATCCCCCCAAAATCAAGCTACTCTATGGATGTGACTACAGCTGCCCAAATTCTGGTAGCACGAAAGTGGAGAACAGATGCAGTACCATCAAGAGAAGAATATATAGAACTTGCCAGCATGACAGATTAAGAAGTAAAGACCCTATGAATTTATAAGGGAACTGGACATTATATATAGAATACATGGAAAAACATTTTAACAAGAAAATAAGTGTAACAGACTGAAAAAAGAATGCTCAGCAATGGATGTGACAAAGTGGGACTGTAAGGCAATGGAAATAATTTAGTACAAGAAGAAAACGCTGTCAAAAAGACAACAGAAAGGAGGCCAGAGAAAGAGTGGACAGGGAGTTAAAATTAAGGTTTATAAACTGGAGGGATAAGTTATGTTGTTATCATTATTAACAAATTGTAATATATTATTTACAAATAGAAAATTGTCCAGGAGCACCTTATAGACCAACTAAGCTTGTTCTGGTGTAAGCTTTTCATGTGCATGCACACTTCTTCAGGTTATTTTTATTTCGACTGCATCAGACCAACACAGCTACCTACCTGAATCTATTATTATTTACATTATTATTATTTTCCTCCCCCTTACTATTATGGGTCTGACTTTAACATATTATGCATTGATGATATGATCAAACAGAAAAGCAAATCATCATCATCATCATCATAAATCACTAAGTAGGCAGCGTAGATAGACACCATCCTATGCCCCCCATGCTTTTTAGGGAGCCCAGGGCAAGATAATAAATGTTAAAATGGTTGGTTGGTAAAATAAGAAAAGTATTAGAATTAATGAATGTTAAAGTGATGTTGGATTGAAATTAAGTGGTTTCTAGCTGTAATGGTATAAAAGAATATGAAAAAATGGTTTTTCTAGAAGCAAAGTTTAAGGGTATAATAATTTAAGTTTAAAGATTTGGGTAGAATAAAGAGGGAAAGAAACTGCTGAGCTAATAAATTGAATCAGAATACAAAAGAGGGAGGTATGAGGAGGTCCGAGAAACAAGTAAATGAAAAATAATGTAAAGAAAAGATTGATTGTTTTTAACTGTTTTTATTTTGTATTTTTTCCTTTTTCTATTTTGTAATGAAAAAACCTTAATAAAAATTTTATATATATAAAAAAAAAAAAGAAAAGTATTAGGACATGATTTGTGAGGCCCTCTCCCCTGAGGTTTTAACTGCCTGGGGGCCTCCAGAGGGTTTAATCCAGCACTGGTGAGGAGCCTCCATTTGGTGGTGGAGAACAAGCATCTCCAGAGTCCCCCCCCCCTTTCCCTTCCCTCCTTCCTTCTCTGGCATCCTCCTCCTAGTGGGGAGGGTACCAGAGACTCACCTCTTGCATCTTCCGGTTCCCTGGGGGTCTCCTCCTCCTCTTCCTCCTCCTGCCCCCTGGTCCTGGGCCCCTGGATGTTCTCATAGGTGAGCTCCCCATCCTTTGGCTCTGGAAGACAAGGTGGTGTGAGGAACAGGTGGTGACATGGGGTGGGGGGAGCTGGGGGGGAGATCTGGGCTGGCTGCGCCTCTACCTTCCTCCTGGCTCTCCCTTCGAGGGACCTTCACAAATCTCAGGTCAGCGTAAGTCACACCCTGAGACATCCTGGGAGCTCCGGCCCTGCCCTGAGATGCCCCTGGGGTGGGGGGAGCAGTTGCCCGAGCCTCACATGCTCTGAGCGGGGAGAGTGGGGCTGGGGCTGGTCCCTGGGAGCAGGTGGGACCCACGGAGCATCAGATCTGGACTCCTGCTGCCCCCGCTCTGTCAGGTGGGGTCTGGAAGGGAACGCCCTCCCCTGGTCCCCAGAGGGCAGGCGCCTGATGTGCTTGCCGTCTGTCCCTGCAGAGCAAAGCATGTGCTGTGTGCTCAGTGTGGGGCCACAGTTCACTGGTTAAGTGTAGGCCTCGTGCGCATGAATGAGGATGTGGGTTCATTTCCTTCCTCTTCTAAAGTATAGCCATTCAAGCAGACTGCTCTAGAACAACTCTGGTGAATGTCCCTGCCACATCAGAGGCAGGAGTATGAGCTACCATATTTTTCCGTGTATAAGACTATTTCCCCCCCCCCCAAATTTTTAAAGTTTAAAATAAGGGGTTGTCTTATATAAAGACAGTGCATAGCACATTTTCTTAATTTTGAACCCCCCAAAATATTTATACACTGGGGCATGTTATACAAGGGAAAATACGGTATATACAAAATATTAATTGAGGGAAAATTTGGCCATCTTACAGCCACAAATATTCCCTAGGAAATGAACTTTCAAGTAATAATGTCTATTGAAAATTTTAAAAAACCGGAAGACACTTTTGGGGCTTTTAAAACAGTTTTGGTCCAATGAAGGGAATCCTTCTGGAACTCTTACTTAGGTCAGATATTTCCCCCTTGCGAATATCCCGCACGATCCCAGGGGCAACATCAACCTGTGGGGAGGGGATGTGGGGAGACTAGATCTTACGAACGTATGTGGTAGTTTTGCAATTCCGCTTACCCATTCTGGGTTTTGGTATTTAAAGAATTGAGTTTGGTCTTGCTGCCTGCCGTTCCAGCCTCCAGGCAGTGGGAGATTCCAGGGGTTCCTGGCGCTTACCCAGGGTCCGGCTTCCTCACAAAGTGGGGCAGCAGATTCCTCCTTGTGGCAGCAGATATGGAAAGAGCCGTGCACTGGTGCACTGCCTTGGGGTTGAACATTGAGCATGGGCAATAGCCCCAGCTGAAAAGCTGATGTGCTAGAATCATGCAGCCAAAGAAATTCTAGCCCCCGTCTTTTCTATGATGTGTGGTAACCATTTTTGGATTACAATCATACCTCATGTTACGCTTGCTTCATGTTACGTTTTTTCAGGTTGCGTCCCGTGGCGACCCAGAAGTACTGGAAAGGGTTACTTCCGTGTTTCGCCATTCACACATGCGCACAAGCGCTAAATCACGCTTCGCACATGCACACAAGCACCAAATTGCACCACGCACCTGCGCAGATACGGCGCTTCAGGTTGCGCTCTTTTCATGTTGCGAACGGGCCTCCAGAATGGATCCCCTTTGCAACCAGAGGTACCACTGTGTATGTGTCAAAAAGATTGTGTTTATAATCCTCCCCCCAAGATTTCATGGTCAAATGTGGAAAGATTTGTGTGTCTGTGAACTGCAGAAATCTGATAGGTCTAAGCAACATGGTTGACGGCCTGTGAGTGATGTTGTCTTTGTATATGGGGAAAATGAATATTACTAAATATTTCCCTCAGAGAGGGAGTGCCAGAGTTTGGGCACCACCTCTGCATCAGCCAGCACAGTTGAGGGTTGTTGTTTTTTTGGGGGGGGTGGGGAGGACCCAACAGCACATACCTGGGATTTGCTTTCCTTGGAATGAAAGTCCTTGGAGTTGGTAGGCATTATCTCTGATAGAATTCTTTATTATTATTATTTCCATGCACACATGCAAGCTGAGCCTCGGATGGAAGGGGTCTCCCAGCACTAGCCCACAGGGCAGTGGCCTCGGCCACCCAAGGCAAGCAAGCCATCAGGGGTGAGCTTCTACAGCAAACAGCAAAGGCCTCTGGTTTCTTAAGGAAGGTATATTTAAATACCTTTTTCATTTCATTATAAATCATCTCCCAGAATGCCTTAATCCTTGGGCACGTCCACCAAAGGTAAAAGAATGTACCTTCAGTCTCATTACATTTCCAACATTTATTATCAGGCAAATGGTAGATTTTTTGAAGCTTAACTGGTGTCATGTACCACCTATAGATCATTTTCATTAAATTCTCTCTTAAGGCATTACATGCCGTAAACTTCATACCTGTGGTCCATAACTGTTCCCAGTCAGCTATCATTATATTATGTCCAACATCTTGTGCCCATTTAATCATAGAAGATTTCACCGTTTCATCCTGAGTATTCCATTTCAACAGCAAGTTATACATTCTTGACAAATTCTTAGTTTTTGGATCTAACAATTCTGTTTCCAATTTTGATTTTTCCACCTGGAAACCAACTTTTTTTGTCCAATTTGTATGCCTCCATTATTTGATAATAATGGAGCCAATCTCGCACTTTGTTTTTCAATTTTTCAAAGCTCTGCAATTTTATTCTCTCTCCATCTTGTTCCAGAATTTCCCAATATTTTGGCCATTTGGCCTCCATATTGAGTTTTTTCTGTGCCTTCGCTTCCATTGGTGACAACCATCTGGGGTTTTTCTTTCTAACAAATCCTTATATCTTATCCAAACATTAAACAATGCTTTTCTAACAATGTGATTTTTAAATGCTTTATGTGCTTTTACCTTATCATACCACAAATATGCATGCCAACCAAATACATTGTTAAAACCTTCTAAATCCAACACCTTCTAAATCCGAGACCAGGGAGAAGAGTCGGTGGAAGAAGACTGGAAAAAGTTTAAAGACTATTTACAGAAATACTGTAAAATTAATGAAAGTTAGAAAAATGATGGAACAAAGTTATATGGCTTTAGTAGAAATGTCATAAGGAATTAAGTATAAATAGATTAATAGAGCATTAAAGGGAAAAATAAGGTTAGAATTTATTAAGACAATTATAGGATAGAAAATAGAGGAAGATGGAAAGGAATTGCTGAAACAATTAATAGAAGTGGAATACAAAAAGGGAGGTGTGAGGAGGTCGTGGAAATTAGGGAAAGAAAGATAAGATATTGAAATTGGATTGTGTTTTAAATGGTTTTTGTTTTGTTTTGTTAGTTGTATGTTAGTGTTTTGTAGTGTGTTTTTTTGTATTGCATTGTATTGTATGTTTTTTCTTTTTTGGTTTTTTGTAGTGTTGTGTTCAATTTGTTGGAAAACTAATAAATATGATTATAAAAGAAAAGGTTAGCATTGGGTCTGGAACACAGCATTTATTTATTTTTTTGAAAATTTTATTCATTTTTCATTTTCATTCATTACATACATCTCAAATTCTTAACGTTTACTATATATTCCTCCCTCCCTCCTCTCCAAGACTTCCCACAGCTTCCATTTCTGGTTTGTTTCTATTTTCATCCACTTTGCTATCTCTCAACAGAAAAGGTTATTAATAACATCACATCAAACCTATAAAGATAAAAATAAAATTAACTGGAAATGGAACCCCGAAATGGAAATTGAACACAAAAATTTAGTCCCCATCCTTCCCCCTCAATGAGTTCTGCAAGGGAGCAACACTGAGGATGAGCAGAGGAGGAGGAGGAAGCTATCAGCCAGGACCACCCCCTTGGGCAGGCCAGTGGGGAGCTGGGTGGGGGGAGGCGGAGGTTGGTGGGGCATGGGAATGTAGAGTGGGAATCTAGCCCAGCCGCTGCAATGCAGGAACCACAGCTCAAGAATCCCTGGCAGACGGCCACCCAACCCCTCCTTGACCACTTCCAATGAAGGAGACTCCACCAGCTTCCAAGGGCAGGGGTGCCAACTTGAATAAAATATTTTAGGGGCCCAGGTAAGCCCCACCCACCCCACATGACTGATCACATGATGCAGTGCACACACCCCATTTGAATGGAGATGCCCATCAGCTTTGTGGGAGCCCAGCCCCTCAAATAACCCCCTAGGAGTTGTCCCCTGTGTCCAAAGGAGTCTGTTCAACTGCTGAATGGCTCTTATTGTTCTTCCCAATATGGCTGGAATCCCTAAACTCCCCATTTAGGGACTAAGAATCCCCCACGTCCGATATTGGTCAGAGAAGAAGGAGCTAAGGCAGGATCCAGTGAAAGCAAGGCAGATCTTTACTATTCTGTTGCAACAACCGTACCCACCTTCCTTGGTAGGCGGTGAGGACCCAGAACAAAGGTGTGCAGGAACTTTTAAAGGCTTTAGAAATTGCCCAGCCCCTTAGCCAAGGACCACCCAAAAAGGATCAAACTAAGAGGGGGTCTACAACAGAAATTTGAATCTGTGGGTTTTCTCCTGTTTGTCAAGATATCCAATAATTGTGTACTGATTGTCCTATCTGACCAATCTGGCCAATTCTTTTGAAATAATAAATACCTTAATTCCTGAATCCCATTCACCAATTTTCTTCTTCTTTGGCGATCCCTCGTAGCCGAGTAAGATTGTCTTCCATGAACAGGGTCTTAACAGTGAGTCTGTAAGTGACTGTAGAGGCCAGTTCTGGATCCACACGTCCTTCCACAGTGGGGACATTGGTTCCCGGGTGGGAGTGGATCACGGTGAAGGTTTGCCAAATGTGCCTTCCTCTTAGCACTTTTCTCCTGAATTCAAGTGTCTTCAAAGCCCAGGACACCTTTGACAAAGACTGTTCTGCAACTGGAGCGCTCACAGGCCAGTGTTTCCCAGTTCTCGGTGTTTATACTACATTTTTTAATATTTGCCTTGAGAGAGTCTTTAAACCTCTTTTGTTGACCACCAGCATTACTCTTTCCATTTTTAAGTTCGGAATAGAGTAGTTCCTTTGGAAGACGATCATCAGGCATCCGCACAACAAGACCAGTTCAACAAAGTTGATGTTGAAGAATCATTGCCTTGACACTGGTGAACTTTGCCTGTCTTTCCAAGTGATGTGTAAAATTTTCCGGAGACATCGTTGATAGAATCTTTCAAGGAGTTGGAGATGGTGTTTATAAGTGGTCCATGTTTCACAAGCACACAGTAAGGCTGGTAGTACAATAGTTTTGTAAACAAGCATTTTGGTTTCCTTGAGAATATCCCGGTCCTCAAACACTCTGCACTTCAGTTGGGAGAAAGCCACACTCACTGAGCTCTGACTGTGCTGGATTTTGGCATCAATGTTGGCCCTTGTGGAAAGACAACTGCCCAGGTAGGAGAAGTGATTGACACTTTCCAACATTACACCACTTGAGTTGGATGTGTGGTGCTGCAGAGGGGTAGTTTTGGTCAGTCTGAGCTATTCTTTTGAAATTGTAAATACCTTGGTTCCTGAATTCCATTCACCAATTTTATACCTATTGATATACAGAAGACGCTCTGTTGACAGGTCCCCTTTGCTTAACAGATATTTGCCAGACTGGTTTTGCAGAGGGGGAAGCTCCCGCATTTCAAGCAGTTTACAGTAGTTTATTTATTTACAGGATTTACACTGAAAAAGAACAATCTGGAAAGTCATTCCCCCCTCCCCAATATACTTCTTGTTTTTGCAGAGAAAGATTTCAGGTCATTTAAGAGGGATGCAGGTGGCGCTGTGGGTAAAACCACAAGGCCTAGGACTTGCCGATCAGAAGGTCGGCGGTTCAAATCCCCGTGACGGGGTGAGCTCCTGTTGCTCGGTCCCAGCTCCTGCCAACCTAGCAGTTCAAAAGCATGTCAAAGTGCACGTAGATAAATAGGTACCACTCCGGCGGGAAGGTAAACGGCATTTCTGTGCGCTGCTCTGGTTCGCCAGAAGCGGCTTAGTCATGCTGGCCACATGACCCAGAAGCTGTACGCCGGCTCCCTCAGCCAATAAAGCGAGATGAGTGCCGCAACCCCAGAGTCAGTCACGACTGGACCTAATGGTCAGGGGTCCCTTTACCTTTACCTTTAAGAGAGTCCGCACATAATTTGGCCCTACTGAGCTCTCAATGGGTATGGATATCGAGCTTTCTTCTCGCAGATAAATCTCTTTACATTCCAACAGTAACACTGTTCCAGGGCTCCTTGGTTCATTTGAATGCAGTAGCCTCCATTACTACAAGTCCCAATATGTTCAGTTCTAGAAAGACAAAGATGACAGTCAAGGCAAAAAGGCCCAATCCCTCCTCGCCATTCATTGTTATCTCAGTTCTCCCAGCCACCCCAAAATGAGTCTCTGTGGAGCTGCCCACATTTGTACCAGCCACAATTTTGCAGAATCTGAATTGTCAGTGGTGGTTATAACTGCCGGACATGGCCAGTTTAGGAGGAGCCTGTTGGGGGGGGGGATCCAGATCAGTCCAGAGCAGCAAAGTATTGCTCTGCAAAGGTTTCTAGGCTTCAGTTCCCATCATCCCTGTCCATTTCCCCTGCTGACTGAGGATGATGGGAGCTGAAGACCAGCAGCCTTTGCAGGAACCCACATGGCCTGTGCCAGATGTAGATGTGACGTCATGTGACATCATGAAGCAGGTATGGGGCAGGTAAAAACTGTTTGCTACACTAAACAGATCTTTGAAAGGGGATTTTGAATATGTGTGCAGCCAACAAATGGACATCCTGTGACATCAGGAGACAGGGATGGGTACTGGTAAAACCTAGCCTGTGAGCAGGTGGGGAGAAAACGATCCAGTCCATCAGTCCCCCCCCCCCAGTCAACATGAAGCCTCTGGGAGTTTGGGGCTGAGGTGTCGCCAGTGTGCAGGTGGCAAACAGTTCTCCCTTCCCTTTTCCATCTTCCAATTCTAGGTAAGCAGTGGAAACTCGGAAACCCGAGAAGCCATTTTGGGATGCATGAGGGCAAACAAGCCCTCTCTGGCCCTCAGGGCTTTCCTCAGGCCCCAGCCAGTCCCCGAGCTTTTCTGCCTGGCTGGAATATGTCCTTGACCTCTCACCATGCCTCTTGCTTGCCAGGATGTACAGAGAAGTCCGACTTTTGCATGGCTTGATGTTGCCCCCTGTACTCCAAGGGGAAGTGTCATAGCTGTGACTCTGTCCATCTTGCCTCTGGCCATGCCCACCCCCATTGACATGTGGCCCCCAAGAAGGTTCCCCATGGGGAAAATAACTCTCAGGCCGCAAAAGCTTCCCCACTGCTGCTGCTCAGTGTGGCTCTCCTGAAGATTGATCTTGGGTAGCAGAGCTTGAAATGAGCAGTTTGTGACAGTGAAGAAATGTTGCTGCTCCTCAGTGGAGGACATTAAGCTTAAGCAACCAGCGGTTTGGCTCTTCATGGTCTCATCCAGACTTTCTAGAGTCTGCACCTTCCTAGTCCATGTCTGAGCACCTTTCTTTTTTGCCCTGCCACTTTCCCCAGGAAAACTGGATCTTTACCTGTGAATCACAGCAAATGTCAATTTGGGTTTTCTGCGGAATTGTTTTCATTGATAAAGGGAAGGGATTTGTGAGGCTAAGCCCTATAAGAAGAGGAAAGGCTGCAGATTCCAGGGGTGGCTATAGGAGGAACTCTGCTCTCTTCAGCCCAAGCAAATCTGATTTAATGAGTAGCAAAGCGACCCCCTCTCTTCCACTTACCCTTCATAGCCCGTACCATCAACCCATTTCCAGGACTCTGGTTGCCAGACTTTTTCAAGTCCAATCCAGTATTGAGTTTTCTAAAAAAAAAAGAATAAAATGTTCATGGAGAAAGACCTCCTTCCCAATGAGACTTTCCCTTCTCACTTTTTAAGAGGCTCTTATATAAAAGCAATACAGTTAATAAGAGTCTGCAGGAAACTAGAGAGTAGCAGGAAAATTTGCTTTTTCTCTAGCTGGCTATGGCGCAATTAGATCAGGTGCCCTGGTTGGCTTCCGGCCTATGGTCACCCCAGCACACACCTTGCTCTAGTGCAGAGTGGTCTGGAATAAGACCAGGTCCAGAATGTATAAGACATGGCTTGAGGATTAATTATGTAAATTAACATTTAAAACCTTCTATCCCACATGTGTGGGCGAAATAAAAAAAAGGAAATGGATTGTGAAGCCTTTTTAGCAGAATAAAACACTTAAATGTTTCTGCAGCTTACTGAAGTTTAGGAATAAGGCGGTTATACATTTTTATCCCCTTTTATTTGTGGTCTGCTGACCTTCCCCTTGTTCACATCTGTTTCAGAGACTGAATCACATGTTTTTAGTAAACAAAAATCCATTTCCTCACATTTCAGTGCAGGCAGCATTTACAGCAAATATAGTATGCTGATAAATACTTCTAAGCTACAGTAAAATAAAAGTTGGTAGTCTTGGCTAACATGGCTGCAAACCCCACACAGAATGTGCCATGGTACCCCTTCCAGTTTATGGGGGGCGGGCTGCATCTGCACTGAGAAATCATGGGTTATCTGTCCTGGTGGATATTTCTTCCTGATCTGTTAGACTCTGGACTTGACTCCCCAGCCCCAGCAGCCCCCTTCCTTAAGGTCTGAGGCATTTGCACCCCAAAGGTATTACCTTATCAATGAATGTGGCATCCCATAGTTCTTTTGCACTCCAGGGCTTTAAAACAAGCAGCTGAGATGATTCCCTCTTGCAGGCTTTCTGGCTTTCCACCCAAGTCTTCATTTCCCATGAAATCCACAGGCATTTCCACCCAAATAACTTCCATCCTTGGGGACAGCAAGCTGGAGAAGGCAAGGGAAGGTCAAGGGAAGGTGTTCAGCTGAAAGCCACCTGGTCTCAGGCCGGCTTGGGGGGGACCCACTCTGGTGGGGCCCTGTCTGTCCCCAATCCATGGGCTGAGAGTCTATGAGAGGGAGAGGGGGTGTTGTGGGTGACGTGGATCATGGTGCCCACACTAAAGAGAAGCTGGATGTATTCCCAGACAGAGCCAGGGCTTGGGCAGGTGGGCAAGGAGTGTCAGGGCCCCTGCCAGGGAGTCTGCAGGTGCTCCTCTGCCGGCGGGCAGCAGGCTAAGTCTGCAGGTGCCATCATAGACATAGTGCCGCCTGCACAGGAATCCAGTGGAGAGACTGGAGCAGGGGGTCCTGGCCTCCACAGGACCTGCCTCTCTCCATGTGAAGGTGGGGGTGGGGTCTGCAGGAAGTGCCTTGGCTGGCGTGGCACTGGGGGGCAAAGGCCAGTGTGCTGTGCCAGAGGCAAGGGCTCCTTGTTGACCGGGCTCCTCAGCCGGCTGGCCCAGACCCTTCCCAGCTGCTGTTCCTCCTTTCATCAGCTGCCTGAATCCTGCCCTGCCCAGCAACCAGGAAATACTTGTGTATTTTATTTGTATTTCCATTTATTTGTTTCATAAATAAATACATTAAATCTATTGAGTGTGTATTAAATGTGTATTTAATTATATATATTTAATTAAACATATTACAATCGTACTTTGGAAGTCAAACAGAATCTGTTCCGGAAGTCCGTTTGACTTCCAAAACGTTTGGAAACCAAAGCGTGGCTTCTGATTGGCTACAGGAAGCTTCTGCAGCCAATTGGAAACTGCGTAAGCCATGTTGGACGTTTGGTTTCTGAAAAATGTTCAAAAACCAGAACACTCACTTCTGAGTTTTGATCGTTCGGGAGCCGATTTGTTCGGGAGCCAAGGCGTTAGAGATCCAAAGTACAACTGTAATTGTCTACATTAAAAAATATTGATTATATTGTGAATACTTTAATATACAGTACTGAAATCTAATTCAGTGTGTACTCTTGCAGCCCACGTGCTCTGAAAGGTTGGGCCACCCTGCCCTGTAGGATCCCAATCCTCTTCCACCACCTGAGAGGCAGGTGATAGAATAGGGAGCCTGGCCAGCCTCCTGATCTGAATGCAACGGACATACCCTTCTGTTGGCAAGTTATACCTCGTTCCAGTTTTCCCCTCATCTCCTCCAACTGCTGCTGAACGGTCTCCTTCTCCTCCTGCAGCCTTGCTTTGTCCTCTTGCTGCTGCTCTTTCTCCTGTTCCAGCTCTTCCTTATCCCGTTGTAGCTCCTCCTTCTCCTGCTGCAGCTTCTCCTTCTCCTTCTGCGTGAGCATCAGGCTCTGGTTGGCTTGTCTCAGCTGCTCCTGCGTCCGGTTCTTGGCAGCCAGGCAGCTCCGGAGGGTCCCGTTGGTGGAGTGGAGCTCCTCCTGGGCCTCTTCCAGCTGGGCCTGGGTCTGGGCCAGGCTGCCCTCCTGGGAGCCCATTCTCTGTGCCAGGGCACTGCCCTCTTCAGTCGCCTGCTGCAGCTGCCGTGAGACCTGCCAGTCTGCAGAGCACAAGCAGGGGCAACATGAGAGGAGGAGGAGGAGGAGGAGGAGGAGGGACATTCAGGTGCCAGGAAGGAGCATGGCAGAGGGGAGCAGTGGCGTAGCGTGGGTTGTCAGCACCCGGGGCAAGGCAAGTAATTTGCGCCCCCTAACCCGTGGATTTGCCCTAACCCCAGATGTTGCGCCCGGTGCGGACGGCCCCCCCTGCACCCCCCACGCTACGCCACTGGAGGGGAGCCAGGCTCCACTGTGGGTGCCCAAAGGCAGGCTGCTCAGAGAGATACAAATGGGGGGTATACATCAGAGGAGTTTTGAATTATGGTGCTTGAGAGTCCCATGGACTGCAAGAAGATCCAACCTCTCCATTCTGAAGGAAATCAGCCCTGAGTGCTCACTGGAAGGACAGATCCTGAAGCTGAGGCTCCAAGACTTTGGCCACCTCATGAGAAGAGAAGACTCCCTGGAAAAGACCCTGAAGCTGGGAAAGATGGAGGGCACAAGGAGAAGGGGATGAGATGGTGGGGCTGTGTTCTCAAGGCTACCAACATGAGGGAGGCAGTGGAAAACAGGAGTGCCTGGCGTGCTCTGGTCCAGGGGGTCACAAAGAGGCAGACACAACTAAACGACTCAACAACAACAACACCACATCCGAGGAGACAGTGAGGCACTCTCCCGATGTGAGGCTCCAGCTCCCCTTGAACCTGACCACTGACCATGCAGGTTGGGACTGGTGGGAACTGGAGTTGAACACTACCTGGAGGGCACCAGGCAGACCCTCTCTGAGCCCAGGCTCCAGGGTAAGCTCTGCATCAAATGCCTGCGACACTTATTATATTTTATTTATTAAATTTATGTGCTGCCCTTTATCAAAAGATCTCAGGGTGGTTCACAGACATTTCCCCCCTCCCCCATTTATCAGGTCAATGGGCTTGGGCAGGGGGCACCCGCTACTCACATCGGACTCCCAGTCCTATGGCGGCGGTGAGAAGGAAGAGACAGGCGGCCAACAATGCCAGGATGGCGTACCAGGTCCGATGGTCTGACTCTGCAAGAGAAACTCAGTGGGGTCAGTTTGGGGTTCCTGTGGGATGGGGTCAACCCTCAAAGGAAGCCTGATCCTGGAGGGAGGGCTGTGTGGAGACAGGGAACTGAAAGCAGCCCCAATTCCCTGCCAGGGCCCAAGCTTCTCTGCTGCAATCGTGGCCAATCTCATTTGTGGGGAAGGAATGGGCTCCTTTGGGGACCCCTCTCCTCTTGTTCAGCGGGGGGGGGGGGCTCTCATGCAGTGCCCAAACACCCCAAGATGAGGAGAGCCACTGCCCCAAGTCAGACTGGTGGAATGGCTGCAGAAACCCCAAGATTCCCCCCAGATTTATATTCTGCATGGTTGAAAAGGGTCCAGTGTTAATTTGAGTAAAAAGTTCATGAAATTAAAGCCTCTTTGGGAGCCCTTCTTAAGTCTGAAAATCTGGAGGTACAAAATCTCAGGATGAAGAACATTCTAAACACAGAAGTCTCCTTTCTGGAAGGCCCTGAACAGTAAAGACTCCCATTAAACGGGCTAGGAATTTCCCCAGCCCTAGAACTGCCTGGTTTGTTGGTGATTGTGATGCTATAAAGGGCTGTAAGTTTTACTTACTGAGTGCCAACCAGCTTTCAAAAAGGAAAAACCAGGACACACCAAAAGTTGTTGAACTTTTTTTTAGGAAGACCCCAAACCTGTTGAGTTCTGCTTTTAACTAAGGATCATTATGGCAACTCTCATTTGAAATGCCCCCACTACAGTATACGGTATGTAGGCTGTAGAGGCTGTGAGCTATTGCTAATAGCAATGCTCTTAACTTTCAACAACAAGGTTGCTGCTTTCCTTCGAAGTCACACGACTGCCCCCTTTAACTCTAAACTGAGGCTTTGTCCTTCTATCTCTGAACTGAGGGAGTGGGGGGGGGGTCAGCCAATTACACTGATTAGTGAAAGCTGAATCGTTTGTATCGTGTGTGACCTTTTGGACGTTTTACTTGTTCCACTTCGTGAGTTAAATGGTCTCCAATCCTTTGTGCTTCTGGCCCAGTGGATCCTGAGGGTCCTAAGCCCATCAGGTGTTATGAAGAGGAGTCTCGGTGCCTGGAGTTTGTTCTTGTTCGTGATGACAGCGAAGTTCCCAATGAGGTTGTCAGAGCCTGTGCAACTCCATCTTTTTGTGAAATGGCCAGGACATCAATGCATAGTGATGTCTTTTCAGGCACTATAACCCAAGCAAGATGCTGTCAAACTCTGCCTTCCTCAAAGCAGCTCAAGACTGAAGGGTAGTTAGGAGAGAACAATGTCTTCTTCCTTTTCATCCCACTGTTTCTTGCAGCAGTGGAGGTGGAGGTTGCTTTCCTGGTGGTGGGAATATTGAGCAACTGCCATTAACAGGACTCCTGAATCTTCTCTTTGGCTTTTAGTGGAGGGTGAATGGGTGTAGGGGATAGAGAAGCTAAGATAGAAATGTGGGGCTAAATAATTTTTTTTAAAAAAACTGAGGGCGTGGGGCCACCCAGTTGTCTTCTTGCACAGAGCCCATTTCCTTTGTTCTCTTAATAGCTGCTCACCCAGGCAATCCCCTTGACACAGGAAGCTAGCCTGGCTTCTAGCTTAACAACTGCCTACACCCTTCCTTCCACAAACTCATAACAATATGAAGCAGTAGAAACTGCTCAAGGAGGGCCCCAATCCAGCAAGGGGAAGAAAAGCAAAGATATAATTAGGTGCACAGTTTATGAGCTTCCTGGGCAGTGAGTGTCACTGTGTCTTTGCACAGTGCCTGCCGAATAGTAGTGGGAGCTCAGTTGGCAGAGCCTGAGGCTCTTATCCTCACGGTCATGGGTTCAAGCCCCACACTGGGTGAAAGATCCCTCCCTTGCAGGGAGTTGGCCACCTGAAGGGGATTCTTTAGTCGTGATGCCTGTGTTGCCTGTTTGAGGTTTGCTGTGACTCCCTTTATTAAGGACTTTGAGAAACAAAAGACCGTTAAGAACCATACATAGAATTATTTGGTTAAAGTCGCAAATTCACCTGAGGTTCTTTTGAGCACTTAAATTGTCCTACCTAAGATGTGATGTTTCAATACAGGGTAGCATTATTGACCAATATTAATGGGTTCCTTGCCGTGAGTGCAGAGGATGAGGAAGATAAGAAACCAATTTTTTTTTAAAAAAAAGAGTTTTGAGAAGCCTACATTTTCAGAGGATTTCTGAGAAATGTGTGGTTAAAAAAAAAAAACTTCTGCAAAACACCTGAAAGAGCCCTTTGGGGTTGATGGAGCTTTTTACTTCAGTGGGAGAAACCCAGCCTCTGTCAGTTCTACGGCTGCAAGGCCCCCAGTTGTTATCAAAGGGGCCCTCTTTTGAAAGAGAAACAGGGTCCTTACCTTTCAGAAGTGAGGGAGCTTTCAGAGAAGCCCCCCCCCCTGGCCACGAAGAAAACTGGAGTGTGTTCCTGGTAGATCCCAAGGTGGCCAGGATCCACTGGGGAGAGGCATCAGTGGGGAAAGCGGCCCCTGGGTTGAAAACTGAGCCCAGGCGACTAGATTTTTGGTGGCGCCTGATGTTGGGGTCAGTAATCTCCCTTCTCGGGTCATGGGGAATGTGGGGTTATGCTCAGAAGACCCTGAGAAGATTCCCCTGCTGGAATCTGGCAGGTAGTGAGGAGGGACCAACTGGGAAGTGGCCTTCAGGTGGGAGTTAAGGGACAGACCTTGAGGGCAGGTTTAAACCCTTTCCTTGTATGTTCAAAATGCCTGCTGGCTCCAGCGGAGGATCCAGGTGGGTTAGGACCTGGCCAGCTCTCAAATGACGTGAAGGTACTTTCAAAAATGTACAAATTACAGTAAGAATGGTTTACAAAAGATGAAGAAGTTAAGGCAGTGATGATACAAGCAGGAGATTTTGGATATAATATCCAATTTTCATCAGGGGAAAAGTTATTGAAAGTGGATTTAAAATTTGCCGCTTGCTGTTCGTTGAAGGAAAACGATATGAAAATGATGCACCATTGGTATTTAAATAGAAGGGGAAGAAATGGAGGAAGTGAGAGATTTACATTCTTGGGCTCCATGATCACTGCAGATGGTGACAGCAGTCACAAAATTAAAAGACGCCTGCTCCTTGGGAGAAAAGCAATGACAAACCTAGACAGCATCTTAAAAAGCAGAGACATCACCTTGCCAACAAAGGTCCGTATAGTTAAAGCTCTGGTTTTCCCAGTAGTGATGTATGGAAGTGAGAGCTGGACCATAAAGAAGGCTGATCACCGAAGAATTGATGCTTTTGAATTCTGGTGCTGGAGGAGACTCTTGAGAGTCCCATGGACTGCAAGAAGATCCAACCTCTCCATTCTGAAGGAAATCAGCCCTGAGTGCTCACTGGAAGGACAGATCGTGAAGCTGAGGCTCCAAGACTTTGGCCACCTCATGAGAAGAGAAGACTCCCTGGAAAAGACCCTGATGTTGGGAAAGATGGAGGGCGCAAGGAGAAGGGGATGACAAAGGATGAGATGGCTGGATAGTGTTCTCGAAGCTACCAGCATGAGTCTGACCAAACTGCGGGAGGCAGTGGAAGACAGAGGTGCCTGGCGTGCTCTGGTCCATAGGGGTCATAAAGAGTCGGACACGACTAAACGACTAAACAACAAACAACAATGGGAAAGATCAGAAACCAGGAAGATCAAGAATTCCTAAAAGACTGGAATAATTTTTAACGTACTTAAAAGACCACTGTAAACAGTTAAAACCATTGGCAAGGATGCATTGACACTTATAATGTTCAATGAATTTTGGAAACTATGAATATGCAACAGATAGATAACAGAAAAAAGATGCAGAAAAAGAAAAAAAAGAATACATTTTCTTTGGAAATGGAAGCCATGGAGGGAGGGGAGGAAGTCCGAAGGTTCAAAAGAACCTTTTTATTTTATATTTTGAAATGGTTAAAGTTATAATGTAGAAATTTATGTAAAACTAAAATATATAAAAAAGGACCTGGCCGACACTCACCTTTCGTGCCCTTGGTGGGGGTGGGAGTCCTCTTCTCCTGGCAGGGGGGCCCCTGGACGTTCTCATAGGTCAGCTCTCCCTCGCTGGGGTCTGGAAGAGGAGCCGAAGGGTGAGTCACGGAGGGGGGGACCTGGAGGGGGACCCTGGTGAGGGGATCGGGGCCGGTCGGCTCTGTGTACCTTTCTCCTGGCTCTTCTCTGGAGGGGTCCTCACGAAGCGCAGGTCAGCGTAGGTCACACCCTGTGACATCCTGGGGGGGGGTCCTGTCTCACCTGGACTAGTGGCAACAAGAGAGGCTGGGCTGGGGGGGGGAGCTCCTGGGCTCTCTGCAGAAAAAAGAGGAAAGTGGTGGCAAATTAAAGAAAGTGAAATGTGAGAGACTTCCTGCAGTGTATGAAAATAAAAGTCCTACCTTCCCCCTCCCCTGCAATCTCCTCAAGGGACCCAGGCCAGCTGCATGTCCCCCTCGGCGCACAGCGGCGCATCAGAGCATGGCTTCCTCTTTCCCCTTTGCTCCTTCTTGTAATCGGGCAAGTCAGCGTCACAGGCCCACGGAAGGGGCTTCCCCTGCAGGGTGTGTTGTCCCATCAGCAGAACTTGGACACCCCCACGGCTGCCCCCCCCAGGCCCTCTCTCCTCCTGACCCACCCTGTTGTGGCTGCCCCCCCCCCCATGGTGGCTGCAGCAGTGGCCTTGCCCTGGGTTGGCAGTGGCTCCACAGGGTTTCCAGCAGCAGGGGTAGGTGGGGGTCAGATTGCCTCCCCCGCCCCAAGCAAATGGCTTCACCCTTATTCATGGAGGGAGCGGCCTTGGCGTAGGGAGGGACGGTGGTGATGCAGCCTCAACAGGGTAGTTGATGATGGGGTAAATAGAAGTGAATTAGTCTGAGGCCCAGAGATGAATCATAGACTTGTAGGCTTGGAAGGGAGCCCAAGGATCATCTAGTCTGACCCCCAGCAATGCAGGCACCACAGCCACCCAGCTTCTGTTTAAAAACTTCCTTTTCTGTCCTTGGAAGCCATTGCTTTGGGTCCCCCCCCCGGGGCAGCAGGAAACAAGCTTGCTCCATCCTCCATCCTCCGCCCTTGAGATATTTGAAGATGACTATCCTGTTTCCTCTCAGTCTCCTCTTTTCCAGGCTAAGCATCTCCAGCTCCTTCAAGCATTCATCATCAGGCTTGGTTTCCAGACCCATGATCCTCTTGGTTGCCTCCTCTGCAGACCTTCCAGCTTGTCCTTATTCTCCTTAAACTGGGATGCCCAGGACTGCAGGCGGGGTCTCACCAAGGCAGGAGACAGTGGTACTGTTACTTACTTGGATCAGGACACGAGACTTCTGTGGATGCAGCCGAGTGTAGCATTGGCCTTTCCCCCTCTTCTGCTGCTGCTTCATCCTACTCTTGAGGTGCTAGGGAAGGGGTAGGACCTCTGGTGGGGGACGTATCCTGCTCCATCTGGGGTAGTTTGAGCACCTTTGGTCCCCACCCTGCACTCTGCTCTCGCCTGTGGCTTCTAGAAGCTGGCAGCAGGTGGCAGTGGCTACACCCCAGGAACGGCTTCAAGCAGCCAGCTAAAGAAGGTGAGGGGAGCCTGGTAGAATTCCTGCTCTGTGATTGCAGTCATGGGACTTTTATTTTTCACATGACGGTATATGTTTTGACTCCACAGAGTGGGAAGTGGCAAAGACAGGATGTTTGTGTTACTGTGTTCCGTGAAGTGGGACTAGTGTCCTTTGCTCTTTACTGTCTGATGCTAGAGAGAGAGGGAGCCATGTTGCAGTGCTCTGTGTGTGTTTATATGTAGATAAAGTAGATTCGTCAAAATGCTGAGTTGTTGAGGTCTGTTATGCAAGCTGCACAAACTCTGCGGATCCCTAAGTGTGCCGGTGTCTGTTGGCATCAGTCACTGTGATGTTTCAGCTGAAGAAAGCTTTTGAAGCTCCCGAATGAAAGACCAGGAGGGAGAGAACATGCCAGTCGGGCATGTGTCTCTGCCAGGGTCCTACTCGAGTGTAGGCCGAACTCCTAACAGAGCTGATGGGTCTCAAACCCATGAGGAGTTAGGGACTAACCCTGCATGTGACTTACCCTGGTCTGAATACAGATATTGGATTCTTGTCTCATTACACATGTTAAAGCTATTTTGGGTCGTTTGCATACTATCCCTTGCTTTTTCCTGTAGGACTAATTGCAGTCGTTAACAGTTGTCCACAGGTTTACCATACCCACTGAGTCAATTACCCATCTCCCACTACCCCTCCCCACCATCCCACTATATATAAGGGTCTGGTGACGTCTGTTTCAGTGTATCTCAAGAAGTGTGCATGCACATGAAAGCTTAGACCCAGAACAAACTTAGTTGGTCTCTAAGGTGCTACTGGACAATTTTATAATTTATTTTGACTGCGTGAGACCAACGTGGCTGCCACCTGAATCTCCCGGCATGTGAAGACAGGCTCTGGAAATTGAGCGGCCAAGACCCAGAGGGGGTCCAAAGGTCAAGAAGGCGATTTCTACCTGTGCTGAAGAGGGCAGTGAGGGGCAGGTGGGGCTGGTCCATCTGGGAGAAGGAAGACTCTGATCCTAAACCTCGGCTGCCTTGCAGGACACCTTCGGGGGAAGAAAGGCTAACCCTACACAAATCTGGAGTTCCTAAGATGGTTGGCTGGCGCCTGGTATGCCTCTTTCCGGCAACGCCTGCAGCCCAGCTGCTGCCCAGCGTCCTGCTCTGCCTTCCTCTGGACCACGTCAGTGAGGTGAGAGAGAAGTCTGCTTGTCTGGGCAGCCCAGGACCCCCAGACCCACCAGCCAGGCTTCCGCCCCAGAGGGGTCACTTTGCTGCTGCTGCCAATGCAGTGGTTTGCCTTCACCCCCAGCGGCACACTCCACTGTCTCAAGGCAGGTGGGTACCAACCAGAATCACACTGGTGACTCATGCCAAGCTTGTGGCTTGATAAAACCCCTCCATCCTCATGTGGTTTCTAGGCATAGCCCCAGTGGAAGTGGAGACGAGCCCTTGACATAGTAGGCTTAAATCAGTTATGTTCGTTAATTTCAATGGGTCTACTCTAAGTTGAGGGGCATGGGTGGCGCTGTGGGTTAAACCACAGAGCCTAGGACTTGCCAATCAGAAGGTTGGCGGTTCAAATCCCCACGACGGGGTTGTGGGATGTAAACACAGGAGCAGTCAATGACAACATTCCTAGAGTGTACATGTTTAGAACATGGGGGGGATGTCTGTCCAGCAAGCAGGTAAACTTCCTGGGGACGGACTTCCTCCGCATGTGACCAGAGGTGGGTGTGGCCTCACCTGTGCAGGTGATGACAAAAAGCACAGGGCAGGCAGCCATCTCTCTCTCTCTGCCATTTTCCTTCGACGAGGAAACACCTAAGGATGCCCTCTTGGCTCCCAGCCAAGAGAGGAGATAAGGCCTATCTTGCTATGAGATAGATTCTAAATCTATGTAACCTTTTTAAGCCTGTCTGCCGTCTGGGATCACATTGTGAACAGGACGTGAGTAAACTCTTTTATACTTTTATGAAGACTGTGTCGTGTCTTGTATTTTAAGAGGGAACAAAAGGGGAAATTACCAGGGTAATTATTATAGAGGTTCTAGCGAACCTGTGCACACGTTACCGTTGCGTACTTAAAGGGGAATGTTTATAAACTCTGCTGATATTTTGGGAACTTGTTAGCACAAGTTGGATAAGGATATAATTAGTCAATATATCCTTTCCTGCACCCCAGAACATTCCCACAAAGGGTTAGTGGCCCCAGTATTGCATATTTCTGCGTATTTTTGAAGGATTGCATTGGATTGTGATTTTGAGTTGAGTAGTATTTTTCTGAGTTAACTTCCTGGTAAGCACATGGTCCTTTGTTCCATTGTGCAGTGGGGATTAAGCAACCCACCCCCTTCCCTCAGAGTTCACAGTGACCCAAGGCAGTAAAGAATTGTTTTGCATTTTGAGATTTTTGAGATTTTGATTTTAAAATTTTGAGAAATTTTGAAATTTTGAAGAATTTTCAAATTTTGGTTTTTAAGATGGCTAGAGCAGCTTTTGATAGTGATGCAAAGCTAGGAATGCCTGTGCTGAATGAGTACAATTTCATGCACTGGAAGCAGCGCTTGATAGCATGTTTGGATTATAAGCACATTTTGGAAGCTTTAGAGCCTCAGCCTACAGGATCGTCTGAGGGAGATTTAGCCAAGATGAGTGCTTGGAAACGCATGAACAGCGAAGCTAGACACATAATTTTGAGTGGACTTCGTGATGAGCAGCTATCATTAATAAATAGCACAGATGATGCATCTCAAATCTTAAGAGATATTGAGCGCGTGTATGGAGAATCTAGCATAAACAGCTTCAGAAACTTGGTGTGTAAATTAACCAGATTGAGGATGAATTCAAAAGAGGAATTCACAGAGCACATCAACAAGTTTACTGAGATTATTCAAAGAATTGATCTGACTCCCAAAGCTTTTGATGAGGATACAAAGATAGCATTTTTGTTATCATCACTTGGACCACGCTTTGGTGCATTTGTAAGTTTGATGGAGCATAGACAAGGTCTGACATTTAAAGACTTGATTGGTTATTTAAAAGAAGAATGCAGAGATAGAGGTGAATCTCCAGTGAGAAATGCTAGAAGCAAGGACAGCAGTTATGCATCTAGGCAATGTACAAAGTCCAAAGAGATGCCTAAGAAAGTGATTTGCTTCAATTGTAACAAAGAAGGACACATTGCAAAGAATTGCAGGGCTCCTAAAGCAAAGAAACCCCACCCCTTTCAGCCAAAAGGGGGAAAGAAGGGGAAATGTGAATGCACATGGCTACTGCAAGAAAGGAATTTAACTGTCCAGAATCGTGAAAATAGACGTAATAAATGGATAATTGATTCAGGAGCGAGCTCGCATTTTTCATATAAAAAGGACTATTTTAATGAGATTAATGAAATAAATGATGAAGAAGGATCTGAAATTGAGATTGCAGATGGTAACATTGTTAAAGCAAAAGGTGCAGGTTCCATGAGCCTGAAATGCAGTATAAACAATGAATGCATTGAGAACACAATCTCTAGAGTTTTGTATGTTCCAGAGCTGAGTTGCAACTTAATCAGCGTGTCCACTTTGGACAAGAAAGGTTTCCAGGTCACATTTGGAAATGGAGAATGTAAAGTGACTAGAAATGGCAAAGTGTTTGCTCAAGCAAAGCTAATAAATGGTGTATATGAGCTTGATCTTTCAGAGAACC